TGATTAGCTTAAAAAGATATTCAGTAAATGTATGAAGTGTTACAGTACCCAGATATTTCAAACTTTTCTTGTTTGTTTGTTTCTAATTATGCTCTGAATTCTTTGCTTTGGTAAAAGACTGTCACACTGTATGTAGGTCAGATGTATTTGAGATTTTAAGAACAGGAAAGTATAAGAACACAGAGCCTGTTGAGCTGTTTTTTTAAATTGTAAATGACCTTTAGACATTTTCAGATTGTCTTCATGATGAGGAGTAGGGAAATGTTTATAAGGATCTTTATTTAAACATTGTTTTCTTACACCCACCCTATCCCCAACCAACATTCAGACTGGCTGGAGGTGAAGATACTTAAAACTGTTGTGGGGAAAGCATTGGTCTGTAGAGAAGGAAATCATGGCATATAACAAGCTTCCTGATGCTTTTTGTCTTATTTAAAATATATTTTTAATGTTTACTTATTTTTGAAAAAGATAGATAGAGAGAGAATGACACCATGAATATGGGAGGGGTAGAGAGAGGGAAACACAGAGACCTGTGCTGTCAGCACAGAGACCAACCGGGGGCTTGAACCCATGAATGATGAGATCATGACCTGAACCAAAGTCAGACGCTTAACTGACTGAGCCACCCAGGCACCCCTCTTCCTGATGCTTTATTATTACTGTCTCCATTGAGAATCTAATGTCATAGCACTACAATGCATGGCATCACAGTGCCACTCCATGTTTTTAGAACTACGAAATAACTTAGATATAAACAAACGGGAAATAATGTAATAAGCATATCTTTATACACCACCTACCTTAAGATATAAAATGTTACAGATATTATTGAAGCTTCCTGTGTTCATTTTCCTTTACCCAGTGGAAATCACCCATAGAATTTGATTTTTAACATTCTCATTTTCCTTTTGATATCTTTATTATACACATATGTATCTATAAGTGTTATATTCTTTTGCATATTTTTGAACTTCATATAGATAGTATTCTTCCATACCCTTTTAAAAGGAACTTTTATGCTTTAAATATTTGCTATATGTATTTGCTCTATTCCATTTAGCTTATATTGTTGTATAGCATTTCATTGTTTAATTATACCACAACATATTTACTTATTTTATGTCTGACTTATATTTTGATAGCTGCCATTTTTTGCTATTATAAACAGTTCTTCTTTGAACATTTGTGAACGCCATCTTGTACAGATTTCTCTAGACTATTACCTAGGTAGGGGTAGGATTGTTGGGCTTTTGAGTGAATGTATCTTCAACTTTGCTGTACAATGCCAAGTTGTGTACCAATTTATACTCTCAGTTGCAGCATTATTTGATATCCTTGCTGACTATCTGTTATTTTCAAAATCTTAAATTTTGCTAATCCAGTGGGTGGTAAATGGCATCTCACTGTTCTTTTAATTTGTGTTTCCCTAATTATGAGTGAGCTTGAGCGTCATTACAAGTTTCTTGGCCATTTGTGTGTCCTCTGCTGAATGTCTTTGTCATTTTTATAGACGTATACAGAGTTATAGACATTTTTCATGTATTTTGGATGTTTTCTTTTTCTTGGGATTTCATTATAAATATATTCTCCCAGTTGGTAGTTTGTCTTGTCATTCTATCTATCCATCCATTTGTGAAGATACATTTATAATTTTACTGGTTGGATTTATCAGGCTTGTTCTTAATGTTTTTTTTTTTTTTGTATCTTGTTTAAAAAATTAGTTTTAAAACCTGAGATTATGAATACATGTTCTGTATTTTCTTGTAAGCATTTTGCAGTTTTGCCTATCATGTTGAAATGTCAATCTGTGCTCAAATAATTCTTGGGCATAATATTAGGTAGAGATCTATTTCTTTTTTTCTTTTCTTTCTTTTTTTTTTTCCCTATAAGAACAGCCCATTGTCCCAGTACCGCTTATTAAACAGTGCATCCTTTACTTATACTGATTTCGTTTCCATGTGTGCATGGGTCTGTTGTTGTTCATTTTGGCTTTCTTCCAGGATCCCAATCTACCTTCCTTTTGCCCCCTTTAAACGAGTTCTGTCATATGCTTGTGTATTTGGATAAATGTAATATGATTTTAATTATTTTCATCGTTTTTATCTTCTATAATATGTATCTTGTCTAATCACCAAGAATACATTTCTTTTTTTTCATGTTAATTCCCTTTCTTGATGGTTTTCCTTAAAAAAGGACCCATCATTTTATTTTACATTCTTTTAGTGATAGAATTGGAAAGACAGTTGAAAAAGTTGTAATCTTTAATTTTAAGATGCAAAAGGCAAACTTTCAAATACATTTCTAAAAGTAAATTAAAAATAACCTGCTTCTTTCTAAAAGACTGGTAGAGTATTTTGCTTAATACCTTAGAAATTTTAAATTTTTTAGGCATTTTAATTTTGTACAAGTAGGCAGCTTATTATGCTTTGTTTAAAATCCGTTAAATATTAGTCCTACCATGCTGTTGTTAACTGATCTTCTTTATTTTTTTTTAGATGATTGGAATCCATTTTCATATCCCTATAAAAAACTGGATTATGGAAAGTGGGAGCTTTATATCCCACCAAAACAGACTAAATCTTTACTTGTACCTCATGGATCCAAATTAAAGGTACTTTCCTCCCTCTTATTTTTATGTGAACTTATTTTCTTTTTGTTGTTTGCAAAGTTTGATTGAAAATAATAGAATGTAAACAGATGCATGATAATTATGGAAGAAACAGTCTAAATGTTCAAATAGAGGAAAATAATGAGGAGTCATCAACAAATTGGTTATTTGGAGCTGTATGTTTGCTAAGGCACTAAACTTATTAACTGTCTTATTATCAGCTTTGGAAACTTTATATAAGTAGTGATTTAGTAATTACAGAAGTCTAACTTGAAAAACAGAAAATTTAATAGAAAAATGAAACCTGTCTTTAAAGCAGCAAATGCAGAGGATTTCTACCTGGGAAGAGAGTCTTGATAAAACTGATTTTGTGATGAGCCACATGAGTGCAGGAGGCAATCTTTTGTGTTGGAGATTCATGCATTTTGGGGATGTGATTTTCCTGGTTATTCTTCTTTCTGGTCTTGAACATCAAGGTTCTTGTTTCTCCAGTTCTTCTGTACTAAGGTTACCTGGATTGGACTAAGGGCCAGAGGCAGACTGAGTGTCCTTCACATACCCAGTGCTTTGACTGACTGTATATTTCAGTATTCAGGGTTTATAGAGCCTGCACAGATATCCTCTGTCTCCTCAAGGGAAGATTGAAGGATGAAAACGTGGATTACAGATTTCAGGCATATGTTTATAGAACTTCTTTAACATTTACTTGATTTTATCCCATCCTAATAGAATTATATAATATTCTCTTGTCCCCTTATTTCTTTCCCTTCTTTGGACATATGATTGCATTCAAAGCATTTATCATGATAAAGCCTATGTCTGAATTATTATTTTTATTGGTGTTTGTTATTTAACAGTATTAACTCAGTTACTTAAAGGAAAACCAAAATGGATTGTGTAGTTGTTTTGCAGGGTTTTTTTGTTTTTGTTTTTTGGTTGTCTATTTATTTTATTTCTTTTACAAATGACAATATTTAAGTATATCAGAAACTTAGTGAAATATTGCCACATATAATATAGTTACCAGAAGAGCACACTGCTGGAATAAAGAGACTTTTTTAACATGGGATGGTGGCCAAGGTTCTTCTTAACCTACAGTGAAAGGAGACAAAGTAGCTCCAGTATACACTAAGAAGGTTTACATTTAATATTAATAATCCCTTTCCAAGTTGGTATAAACTCCACAAAAGCAGGAGCCTATGCTGTTTTGATTCCTAATACTGTCTGTTCTTGATTCTTAGAACAGTACTTGGCACAGAGTAGGCACTCAAGAAGCGTTTATTAAATAGTAGAGCCATTTTTAGGCCCAGTCCTTGAAAGAATAAGCCAAAGACCTTGATTCCTCTTTGGTTTATGTGACCTGATTGTAGAACTTTTTTTTTAATGTTTATTTTATTTTATTTGTTTTTTGTTTATTTTATTTTTAATGTTTATTTTATTTTATTTATTTGAGAGAGAGAGAGAGAGACAGAGAGGAGCAGGGGAGGGACAGAGAGAGAGGAGACACAGAATCTGAAGCAGGCTCCAGGCTCTGAGCTGTCAGCACAGAGCCCGACACGGGGCTCGATCTTACCAACCATGAGACCGTGACCTGAGCTGAAGTCAGATGCCCAACCGACTGAGCCACCCAGACGCCCTCTACTTGGCCTGATTTTAGGAAACTGTGAGGCAAGGCAACTATTATTGTATAGCTGTCACTGTCACTTTAGGTTCCTATGGACATTTGCTTTGTTTTTTATTTCTAAGAAGTGAACTTACTATTTTTTTCCTTTCTAAATTTGTTGCCTTCTTAAATTAGAAGAATTTATGAGTTCTCATACCCTACTTACTCCTTGTGTTAAATGGTGATTGAATTCATTTTGACAAGTTGTTTTTATACATGGCGAAAAGTTAACTGACTACCAAGAATGAATGATTATTGATATATACAAGGAATAATGGTAAACACTTGCATTTCCCATCTAGCTCCAGATATGTTGCACTTTCTGCTGTCTTTTGAATGTTTATATATCCTCCCAAAAAAAAACATATGTTGAAATAATGCTTGATGTGATGATACTAGTAGGTGGGGCTTTGGAGGTGCCTAAGTCATGAGGGGCAGCCCTTTGAATGGGATTACTGCCTTTATAAAACAGGCTCCAAAGAGATCTCTAGTCCTTCCATCATGTGAAGATACAAGATGTCTGCAGCCCTGAAGATGGTCCTCACCCAACCAGGCTGGCATCTTGATCTCAAACTTCCAACTTCCAGAACTGGGAGAATTAGATTTCTCTTGGGTATAGGCCACCCAGTCTGTGGTATTTTGCTATAGCAGCCCAAGTAGGTTAGGATGCTTTGGCCACTATGCTATGTACTATACTATTCTTTCTTTCAAAATTTATTTGACTTAAGCTTTGCTCAGTGACAGTATCATAGCCAATGAGGTTGATCCGAGGCGAGATTATTGCTAATTGAAAAATTTATTTGACTTAGAGGAGATGAAATGATCCTATGATTTAAAAAAAAAATGTAGAGGCACCTGGGTGGGTCAGTCAGTTAAGCATTGGACTCGTGATTTTGGCTCAGGTCATGATCTCCCATTTCATGGGTTCAAGCCCCATGTTGATCTCTGGGCTGACAGCTCTCTCTCCCTGTCTCTCTACCCTCCTGCTGCTTGCATGCATATGTTCTCTCTCTCTGTCTCTCCATCAATAACAAATAAATAAAAGTAGCTTCTACCTTTTCACTTGGTTTGAAAATCAACATCTAATGTAAACAAATGTTCAACAAGTATCAAGTAAACTGTTGTAGAATCTTTCTTCATTATTATTCTCTAAAATTTTCAGTGAATATAATTAACTGGAAATTTAGGTCCAAAATATTCCTCATAGTATTTTGGTGCTTCAAATAGTGAGGAAACATTTATATGTTGTTATAATGTTAATATGGCGATAGTTTTTTTTTTTTATGGGAAATGATGTATCTGAGTTTCTTTGGGGGAGGGATTAAGTACTTTATAAAAAAATCAACTAACTTCAGGTTTTTGGCCTTTGAATCTGAAGTTATCCCTAGATACTCTATCTTGGTAATTAAAAATCTTGTTTTAAATTGAACTTGAAAATTTATTTCAGTTCACAAGGGATTGACCTTTATAACTCACTTGAGGATGTTTCTCTTATGAATTATCTGGTAACCATTAACAAAAAAGAAACGTTACTACCATTGCGATAATAGCTTCATTTTCTCTGTAAAGCATTTTTCAACTGAATACTTTGGAAGAAAATATATAACTGCTTATGTGGTTATATAAATGTCTCCTTTCCATGTTTAGGAATTTACCAAATAGAAAATATTTTTAAAAAATAATATAAGGCTAATTAAACTTTTAAGACAATAGAGATATAAAGAAAGAATAGAAGACTACATTCCTGAACATTGTTTTTCTTTGCTTGTTTCTTTTTCCAAAAGGCTGTTTTCAAAGTTGATCAGGGGATCCACTCAAGAGTTCAAACAAAAGGGGAGGGTGAGGGGGCTTAGTAGCATCCAAATTGTTACCCTGCCTAGGCCATAAGGAATAAGGAATCAGTTACTGGAACACAGAGGGAGAAAGAGTTGACCATCTTGAGAGAAGCCCTGGGCTTTGGTGAGAGACACACATAGTTAATTCATGGCAACCTTATAGGGAAGGAGCCAGGGGAATAATGAAACAAATATTCTCATGCCTCACTCTTCTCCTTCTCTCTGACCCCTTTGTGGGGGCTACACATTAGCCAAACCCAATGAGAAGCCAGTATTCTGGGGAATATGGTCCACATGAGTCAGCATCCTGGAGCAGAGAGCTGGGTGAGAAGTGGATCTGTCCATACTAGTAAAATGTTGCTCAGGGGGTCAGTAAAGACCTAAGGTCAGGAAAAATGAGAGATCAGGGATAGTAAATCTGGAAGGTGGGTTCGAGGCAAACAGTGAAGAATTCTTTTCTCATTCTTTTTTAAAATTAAAAAAATATATATATTTGAGAGAGAGTTCCCGTGCATGTGAGGATGCGAGTGTGGGTGGGACAGAGGAAGAGGGGGACATAAGATCTAAATCCGGCTCTGTGCTGACAGCAGCCAGCCTGATGTGGGGCTCGAAATCATGAACCATGAGATCATGACATGAGCCACTGAAGTTAACTGAACCACCTAGGTGCCCCTTCATTACTCATTCTAACTAATGCTCAAATGACTTAGCAATGGCAATGAGAATTGTCTTCTTTTTAGTTTTTAAGATGTTTGTGTATTTTAACTTTTCCTTCCCAATCCATTAGAAAATGAACTAGAAAAGAAGTTTCTCGATCCCAGACATTTAATATTTTCAGAGGATTCATTTGTTAGTCAGCTCGAGATGGCATAACAAAATACCATACGCTGGGTGGCTTACCCAAAAGAAATTTATTTTCTCACAGTTATGCTGGGTGGCTTACCCAAAAGAAATTTATTTTCTCACAGTTCTGGAGTCTGGAAGTTCATATCTGAATTGGGTTCTAATGAAGGTTCTTTTCCTGGCTTGCATTTGACTGCCTTCTTGCTGTGTCCTCACATGGCTCTAGTCCCATCATTGGGACCCTGTGCCATGACTTCATTTAAACCTAATTATCTCCCAAATGCTGCATCTTTCAATACTATCACAGTGGTGGTTAGGGTTCCTACATGTGAGTTTAGAGGGGAGCACAATTCAGAGCAGATCATATTGCTTTTCTAATTATATTTAGATGTTATATAATGATTGGTAGAAAGGGGCATAGAACCCAATACCTACATTTGCAGTTTTCTTAGATAAGACACAATGAAAAAAAAAAGAGATTGCTTTACATTCATATTTAATTTTATCTTCATAAAGAAAGTAATAACATGAGAGAAGGTATTGTTATTATATTTTTATTACCTACATGAATACACTCACCTGAGGGTTTGGATTCAGGCTTGTCTGACAGCAAACACCATGCTCTTAACCATTATGTTACAATGCCTATTAGGCTAAGGCCTCACAGAGAAAAGAAGGGGAAAAAAGTGATACACAGGAATAAAACTGGAGTCTCAGATTTATCAAATCATTTTATAACATATTTGCATTTGTGTGTGTGTGTGTGTAAACTATTATCCGCAACTTTCAAGGTGCTGTGAAAGAGAGTATTGAAGTGATCTTCCCTAAGAATAGAAAGGGGATAGGTAATTTATACAAAGTTTGGGTTTTAGGGGGTAAAATATCAGATTTGTTAATAAGTAAAATGAAACTAATAATTGAGAGCCAGAATGAGATTTTTAGGCAGAAGTATGCCATTGAGTAGTTTGGGGCAGGGATGTGGTGTGGTAAGATATTAATATCTGAATGTTTGCTTAAGAAGGTAAACTTCATTTGTGCATGAATGTTCACAGCCACATTATTCATAATAGCCAAAAGTAGAAATAGCCCAAATGTCCATCAACTTATCTATGGACAATGGAATATTATTTGGCGATATAACCAAATGAAGTACTGATGAATGAATGAAACTTGAAAATGCTATGGTCAGTGAAAGAAGCCAGTCACAAAGGCAAATTTTGTATAGTTTTGTTTTTACAAGCATCCAGAATAGGTAAAACCGTAGAGACAGAAGGTAGATTAGTGATTGTCAGGAGCTGGGAGAGGATGGGTAATGACTGCTAAAGAGTATACGCTTTCCTTTTAATGTGATGGAAATGTCCTGCAATTAAGTCATGGTGATGTTTGCATACCATGAGACCTTGTGAACATACTAAACACCACTCAATACTTTAAAAGAGTGAATGTGAATTATTTGAATTATTTTTTTGATACAATAAGAAATATGTACTTCTTAGTCTTTGTCCCAGTTCCTGGCATACAACTCTTAAAACACTCAGGAGCAGAGGGGAAAGAAGAAGGTAAATCTCATAAGCAATTTATACTTCATTGCTGGAATATTTTCTTGTGTTATTTCTTTACCAATTTCCTTGTCCTCACATTCTTTGTTCACTGTTTCAGAAATTTCTACTGCCTGGATATTGAGTCTCCCAAGTTTTCTTATCTTTTGCTCTCAAGTTGCCCATCATTTTGACTTTCTGTTCCACTTGGAGAAATTCACTTTCAACTACTTTCATTTTAATAATCACATTTTTAACATTTCTAATAACATGCTTTTGTTCTCTCCCTTTTTCTTAAATTCTGTTACTTTTAAATGTCCAAAGATACTTTTATCTTTTTGAAAATATTAGATATTTTCCTTTATTTTTTCCCCTCAAGTTTGCTTCTTACTTCCTGACTCTTTTCTCTTATTTTTCCCCCAGATTTTATTTTCTTGGCTTCCTTTTAGTCTCTGTCTTCCATTTTGCAAGCTGTTTCCAGATGCCTGGTGATCCATGGCTATATAATCATATTTTAGAATGAGATAGGAAAAAGAATTTGAAAATTCTGTGTACATGAATAGGGCTTTATTCATGATAAGCTTCCCTGTTGGGTAGTCAGAGCAGGGCAGGCTTTAAATTGGTAGCAATAAGTGAAAGTTTTTCTTCAGGATCTCCCTCCCCTTCTTGTCCCCCAACCAAAGATGAGTCTTCCAGTCCCCTACAGGGGGATGGATGGAAGGGGTGTGGAGTGGGGGACTTTGTACCTGGCTCTTGACATTCATAGATAAGGACAGGGAAAGTGGAGGAGGGTTCCACCTTGAAATGTGCTACGAAGACACTTAATTCTCCTACTTTTAATATGTGACTCACCTCTGTCATCTGCTGTACTCTTTGTTTCTGGAGCCTTCCTAGTTCATTGCTTTTTGGAATATGAACCTCTAGTCTCCTGTTTGAGACAAGAGGTGGTGTTTTGGAGGGATATACCTTTATCTGTACAGGTTAAGGAGAAGGTGTGCTCCAGAGCCCACAGTCCCCTTATTTAACACTGCATCTTATTTTTTTTCCATAGTATTAGGAGCCCACAGATGCTGAGTCTCCTAGAGGTGCTGTGAAGCAAACTGACCAGCTATATTCAGTCTCTTCTTCTGCAATACCCCATTTTAATTTTTGCCTTAGTTTCTTACCCCTTTGGCTACTTTCTGTCTTTCTGAGTTTTGTTGAAATTTCTGGTCTCTTGTTGCCTCCTCTTTTAATACTTTTTGTACTGCTTTGCTGTGATTTCAGTAGGCATTTGATAGCCTTGCCATTTTTAATTCATACCTCTAAACACCCTTTTTTAAATGAAAGAAGAATATAGTACATCTGCTGGGTAAAATAATATTTTATAATTTGAGGGCCTTGGGGTCATTATATTCTCATCGTACGCCATGATTATAAGATTTTGGTTAAACTGATTATTTCTTGCTTGTGATGACTTTACATATTATTATACATGATAAAGATTTTCCTCTTTATGACCCACAGAAAATCCTCTACTCACTTCATTTGTTACCTAGTTCAACTTAATCAACCTTTAAGACCTTGAAACACCTAATTTGTGAGAGAATGCATAGTTAGAATTAGATGCTTCTTCCCTTACCACAAAGATTGTAATTCTTTGTGTT